TACATACATACACACACAGACACACACACGCAGAAAACCCCTCGACAGTATGCGTTTTTGCATTGCATAGCTCCAAAAAACGCATAAAAAGGCGGTATTGTCCAGCAGAAAAAATAAGTTCTGCTTATTCCAATGCAAGGGCGCTTTTGTAGCGCGTAGGATATTACACATCCCTCGCTAGGAAGGCGTTGGTGGTAGGCATTTTTGAAGAGCTTCCGTCTTGAGTAAACACTCTAGTCACTGCTATACCGTAAGTGAAAAGAACTCCTGATGATCTCAGTCAATTTGCAGTTACGAATCGCATCAGACAGTGAATCCCAAAAGGTAAGTTTTTTTTCATGTGCGTCTTACCTGAAGCAATTCTTTTGCAGGTTCACAAGAGCCGTTTCTGTGGAAGTCAAGAAAACCAGTTCACCTAAACGAAGGTTCAGATATCACGAGTCCCTGTGCGCGAGAACACCTGTCAGTTCTAATCGCTTTCGAAAATCTTTATCGTGTCGCTTTCTATTGTAAAGGATCATTCCTGTTCTTGCAACTTCCAACAAAACATCAATCAGTTTCCTGGAGCTTTCACAAAACATCTTCGATCACGCCTAGGAGCTATAAGAGTAATAAGACTTATAGGAGCCATGAGAATTATGTGCGAACCAACAGAAGTGGGTTTGCGCGGTATGTTAAATTAGCTTCGAGTACAGATTCAACTGAACGCATGCAAGGACGAATAATCACTTTGATCGAAGAGAAGGTGAGAAGTCTGGAGGAGTGCACTGCCAGCAGTCAAGATAATTGAATTCCTACTGGTACAATGCTCCGAATTGTTTTCCCCAGGAATGCCCGAATTTCCAGTGTGAAATGATGCGTCTGGCTTTTCAATTACAGAACGGATTCAGGAAGGAGCAGTGTCCGCACACGGTAGCCCTGCAATAACGCGGCGATTTCACAAAAAATAAGACCTTCTGCGCCGAAATCAAATTTTGATTGTTATGTGTTTTTTGGGAGGACGAACTGATGACCACGGGCGCACTCTGACCTATAAAAATAAATAGGTAGCACCGTACTGCGGTCAGATCAAGTCCTCGGAGCAATCATTCCTTTCTCCAACTATTTCTAATGTCGTTCCAGTGTCTTTCCTAGAATTTTTCCACTCAAAAACAGAAGGCAGGTTTCCGCATTTTCATTGAAAAATTGTTCATATTCATGTGGAAGTTCGATTTCTTTCTCCAAAAATCTGGACTTGCTGTGTGTACTTCGGAAATGCTCAAAGGCCTGCAAATTTTCGACGTTTGCGAATAAGAGTTTGTTTCGAGCTCGTTCTGATGACCAATGGGAAAAAAGGTCGTGCTAATTGGCGTAAAGACTAGTAAGTAATAATTTCTGTTTGATTCAAATGTTCTATGAGTATTCCCAGATCTCATCCAGGTTTCCATTCTCCTGAGAAAGAATGGTCGAATCAGTCAGAGAGCCTCGGCCCAAAACTCATTCAACAAGCAGAAAAAATCTCTCGCCATCTCAGTTTAATCTTTCCCCTCTCCTTCCTCGACACAATATATGCGACTAAATGGACTGAAACATTATTTTGGATTCACGATCTTGCTTTTCTAATCCTCTGTTTTCAGTTGAATTGCTAAAGAGCTAGAGAGGATGGGGGATAAGTTATGAGGAGGGAGATTCGCTGGCAGCAGCTAGGGCACGCTCCCGATTTCATTAAGCTTTCTTTTTGTACCATCGATCATGTACTAAATCGACGAACGGCTTCATGAGGTCTGTGCTGCAGCAGAACTCGAGATGGAGTTCCGCTCAACAACGTGAGAAGGAACTGATCACTGTTCTAGCATGCTTTTTGTGCTGGTGATATTTCTCAATATTCTGCAATCTGCGCAAGCTAAAAGCACCGCTACATGTTCCTGTCCACCGGCACAGCAATGCAAACCAGACTGTCTAAATGTAACGGATGATCAGAATCACCGATTACGAAGACGTGAAGCCGCCACTGAGGATGCCGATGAGTTCATCGATCAACGTAAATGCAACAGTGACCAGCTGAAGGAAGTTATGTTACAGGTCAGCTAAAAAATCAAGTCATAAATCAGCTGAAGATGACGGGTTGTGATATCATCCAATTTGCAATGATAAGCCAAACCACAGGTCACACAGAAGCATGTCATGTTGCAAGCCTACGTTTTAGATAAAGGTTTCAAATTAAGCTTTCTCATACGCATGACAGCAAGTTGGCGGTGCATGAATTTTAAAAATAGCCAGAAAGCAACAACCATGATTTCGCCAAAATATTTATCCTACATCTGTGAAATCGTATAGCTAAATCGAATTTCGATTTGTGCTTGCGCTCTGCCTTATGGCACGCCAAAGATATTAGTAGCGAAGTTGCAATTTCGGGTACTGGACAAGCTGTGAAGCTTGCGAAGACATCTTGTATTCACGTGTAGTTGAAATTCGGACTGAGGTTAAAGTTTTCGCATACAAACTTGAAAAATACTCCGTTTTATCGCAACCTCAAAAGCGAGCGCATTTTGCGGATTTCGTCATCCTTTTCCCTCGACAACCCCTACACTGCCAAATTTGCATTTTTCGACGAACACCGGTCATCGGAATTTATCTATTTTTCTTCACACAAAATTCACTGTAGTGATGCATGCCGGAATTTAGGATTTACGCAGCAGCATTATATACCACGATCATTCCAGCCAAAGCTCTTTACTCCTTGCACGCAAGAAAAGGCCAAAACACACTCAAAATGTCCAGATGTTAAACTATAAAGCAGCAGCCGTTCATACTGTTAACAACCAGCTCGCTTCAAGTTTAGCGTAAAAATGTACGGTCGTACCAGCAAAGCTGAAGCTCCATTACCTGGGTTGAATAGCCTTATTGTTAGCCAAACTTTACTTAAGCCCGTCTCTAAAAATTAAAAATCCGTGACCTGACCGCAAGAAAAAATAGTGTCAAGTATTTCAACTGTGTGCTGTGAACATATTGTAGAATATGGCGGGACGAACGGCGAGAGAAGCGAAGACAAAAATCATGCGAGCAGCCGAAGCGCAGCTTGGCGGGCATTTCAACGTCATTTGTGCCAACGGCGACTTCTCGTATATCACAACAACAAGGCTTTATTGCCTGCAGGCACTCGATAACATTAACTGCTATGCCTTCCTCACTGAACTCGCTAGTGCCATTGCCTAACAGTATCCTCATTTTTGTCTTTTTTTTGCATGTAATCCAGAAATCTGCACAGGTCAGAACTAATTTAGCTCGCCGACCAAATGTTCACTCACCCGTTTTCTCAAGTGATTCTAATTACTGGGCAGTTTTTCCCGAAAAATGTATTACAAGTAGCGATGCTTTATCACAGTTAATTTACCATCAAATGATGATTGTACAGTACGCGGTTTGCAGAAACGAGAACAGAGCACAGGTTCCTAAACATGTCAATAGCATGAAAGGAGGGATAAAAACGGAATGCGGCACTTCAGTCATCTCAGTGCCCTGCCACGGAAAAGGCCCAGAATTACTCAATTTGTTTACAATGACATTTAAAAAAATGCATAGCGCTACTCTTTAGTACAAACCCAATAAACGATACACGAAAGCCATCAAGCAGTTGGGCGGTTGAAAAAAAAAAAAAAAAAAACTATTTTAAAATTCATGAAGTGCGCAAGATCAGTCAGTGAACGAACCAGTCAGTAAAAGAGCTGCATTCACTTGGTCATCAGTTAATCAATCAGCCAGCTTAATCAGATCAATCACTCAATCGATCAATGCTCCTCACTTTTGTTCCTGTTTCCCAGGCTGGTGATCAAAGAGCTACATTTTAAATTCAATGTCTCCACTCAAATCTCGGTATACACAATATCATCAGGAAGTAAGCTTTCACTAGTTTGTTGGAACACACGATATGCATCATTATGCGAAGCAGTAGGAATATTTGTAAAGTTCGATTTCATGCCAAAGCGGCTTCAGTTGAACAAACATAGACAGTGGAAAGGAAAGACAGCCACCGAATTAAATCACCAGTACGCTTCGCTGACCACCGATATTATTAGAAAGCACTTTTTACGGCACTGTACATAATCCTGAAATTTGTCTGTATTTACTTATCTTTTTAATTTTCTCTAATCTGTTAGCATTTATTGCCTCTTTCAGCCCCCACATCTCCCTGTAGCCCCATCTAGCAGACAATCCGCTATTTTGTCTTTCTCCTTGCAAAGCGAAGTAGAAAAAAATTATTACTCAGCAGCGATGTAATATTCCGCACCAGGAACAAGCCGCAGTCTGTGAAACGAAAATTATTTGGCAAAAATGGAGCAAAAGAATACCTTTTCTTGCTAACAGT